GGTGAGGGGGACAACCCTAGACCAGACTCTGAGCCGGAGCTGGAGAGGCAGACCTGGAGGCCAGGCCCTTGTAGGGAGGTGTGTGGTCAGCAGCGGGCAGGCTGGGCACCGGGAGGTTGAGGGGAAGGCGGCCTTGTGTCTTAAGGCTCCTTCATGGACGCTATGACTGTCCCTAGCAGCCAGCAGGGCTGAGGGAACAGGTTGGTGGCTTCACTTAGAATAGAAGGGCCTCAGGCCTCCAGAGTCAAGAGGAAGATGAGCAGGCAAGGAACCTGGACCCCGACTTCGCGGGGGGCTGGAGGGCTGTTGTGAGCCTGAGATCGGGCAGTCATGCCCCAGGGCACGCCATCGCCGGGGCGCTCCAGCGTCTAGGTGCAGAGCGCCGTGACCGGCCCTGAGGCCCCTCATATGACCCGGTGGGTAGCAGGCTGGCTGAAGGATAATGCCCGCTCTCCTCGAGGCAGGACGTAAGTTTACTGCTCAGTGGCCGAGACCTGACAGCTCCCAGCAAGTGGCGTGTGGCTATCTCTGCCTTTGGCCCAGCTGGGAACCAGCATGCCCCTCTTCTGCCCCACGGCCCTGGAGGGTGCAGGCCTGCACTCCTGGGACCTGCCGCCACTCAGTCCCACCTCGCTGCGTGCTGTGGGCGGGCAGCCTCGGCTCACTGTCCAAGTGGCTCTTCTGTGCATCTGTGCAGGGTGTCACCCCACCTGTAGGGCCAGCAACCTTACATGCGGAAGCCCTGGCTGGTCCTCGTGTCAGCCCTCGTCCCAGCTGCCATGGAGCCAAGGTCTGTGCGTCCATGGCTGGGTGTGTGCGTTGCTCCCAGGAGCCTGGGCAGTGGTGGGAAGATGCAGACAGCTGAGCTCAGGCTGGGCTCACCGCCGTCACAGCCTCTGCTGTGCAGTATGTGGTCGGCATGGCTCGCCCTGCTGCCTTGCCAGTCCCTGCCTTCGCCGTCCGTCTAGGTCTGCACCTGCGGCGACAACAGCCTTCACCCCAGAGACAGCGCCCTCACTGCTGCTGCTCTGTCAATAGTGTGCTGCTGCCATGTGCTGGGGACGTGGCTGAGGGGCTGTCAGTGGCCAAGACAGCCCATCTCTGCTTGCAGGGCTGGACTCTGGGCCGACCCCTTGAGTGGTCCCAGCCAACGCACCTGCAGTCTCCCACAGGACCAGCAGCTGTAAGAGCACGTCGCACTCAGAGGCCAGGCCAGCTGAGCATGCCGCGTCCCCTGGGCTAGACTGCGTGTGGCCACAGGTGTCCTCATGGCCCAGGGCGAGGCTGCCACATGGGCATTTGGGGACACCGTCCAGCCATGGCATGTCCTCTGCCGGCCTGCTTGCCCTCACCTGCGCTGCCCGAGAAGCAATTTGGAAGCACCAGCGACTATTTGGAGAAGGCTCGGCCCCAGCTGCCGGCCGGGACACGACCTCCTTGCCCTGCCTTCTCTGTCGTGGACGAGAACACGGCTTGTGCGGAGTGAGTGGCTGACTTCTGGCGCATTCGACTGGCTCAGGGCAGGCCCCAGGCTCACACATGCAGCTGCCCGGCTCTCCGGTGAGGTGTCCCCTCGGAGCCCCTGCCCCTCAGCCAGGAAGGCTGTGTCCAGACTGCAGGTATACAGGAGAAACACGTGGTCAGGCCATGAACATGGGGGGCTTGAGAGGACATCGTGACGAAGCCGGGGGCCGCATCCTCACTGGTGGCTCCCATGTGCTGACCCCGCACTGTGCATGTGGCGGAGGCACTCCTACCGCCAGAGGACGGCACGGGGACGGCGCTGTGACCTTCGCACTCCCGGAGCAGGAGGGCTGCGTGGCCTTCATGTTTACTTACAGATGGAGAAACGCCACGTGTCAGGTGGACTGGATTCGGGAAGCACGGCTGCTGGTGGGGCCCAGCCTCGCCACCTCCATCTGCAACAGGAGAGCCCATCAGTGTCCACGTCAAGCCCAGACCCTGCCCTGGCCATCCTGGGCACTGTGGTCTCGGTGGTGTTAGCCTTCACGGCCAGGGAGTGGCCTGGCCGGACATGTCCTACTCCTTGAGCTTAGGCAGGTCCCGTGATGCCAGGTCTCATGCCCATGTACAAAGGACCTAATCCCACGTCCACTTCACATTTTCCAGAAAGTCACGTCCCAACTGGCCCAGCCATGCCCTGGGCCCCGCCACGTCCACGGGTAGTTCCTGAGCCTCCTTGCCATTCCTTTCCCTGAGATAGAAGGTTGTGAGCCCTGGGACCCGCAGACCAGGTTAGGGGCCAGCTTTCACTGTTCCAGCCACCGGTCTTCCGTCGGATTCGGTGCCCCTGGTCCCAGCGCCGGCCTGGCTGTCCTAGTCGCAGCGGTGGAACCCTGCGTGGTGACTTGGGGCTGGGCCAGGCCCTCCCTCCAGGCTTTCTCTCGGAGCCCAACTGCCTGGCACTCATTTCTGTCCCTGGCGTGCTTGAACCAGGCTGAGACCATCCTGGCCAGGGGTGGCTCTCAAAGCCCTGTCACCTCAGCAGACCCACCTGGAGGGTCTGTGGGCTCCAGGGTGATGCCGTCCCCAACAAAGGCTCGCCCTGAGCTGCTGCAGACGCCCAGACCGCCCACGGCTCTCCTGCTCACGGAGCTGCCCCGGGGAGAGGCTCCTTGTACAGCCGGCAGCCCCCAGGAGGTGCTCAGGACAACCGACTGCCACTCCGCCTCGCCGTTGGGGGCTGAGCAGGGTCGGGCTCCTCACAGTGGACTTGGGCATTCTGGCCTCGCAGCCCCTACAGCCCTGGGGCTCAGGAGAGAGCCACAGCCCAGGGTCATCGCCCACAGTGGGAGCAGGCTCCCAGGACCCGGGGAGGAAACCTGCACCACCGGCCACCACTGACTCTGGGACCTCAGGCCACTGGCCTGCCCCAGGCTGGAGGAGAAAGCCAGGGTGTGCGTCCTGAGGCCAGCGAGGAGGCTGAGGTTCGGAGGCTCGCATAGCCCCATGTGCCTCTCCACGGTGCGCCAGACGAGGGTTCTGCACACACGGAGGTGGGCCCAGCTTTGGCCCTGAAATGCTCCCAGTGCCTTTGAGGACGGCCCAGTTCTAGGCCAGCGCACAGCCCTCTTGCCACCCAGGGACAAGCGGAGGGTCACTGCAGAGAAGGTGTGGGCCTCGTCACCAGGAGCAGGGTGCTCAGGGCGCTGCCCCACCTCGCCGGGTTTGAACATGTGGTCAGGTGTGAAACTCATGGGGCGGCCATTTGTGGTGTCCCCTGTGCACCAGGGCCAGTTCTTGGGACCCTAATCCCATGCGAGCCCCTCTTCATAGCCTCAGTGATTGACAGGCAGGAGCTGTATGGCCAGCGCAGGCTGCGTGGGCGCCGCTGGCTGATCCTGCAGGCCAGTATCCCAGCCTGCCGCGCACACCGGCCCTTGTCTGCTGGGCCTGTCCCCGGGATGGGCTGGCAGTTGTGGGTTAAGTGTGGCTGGACGTGGCCTGCCCTGTGGCTGGGGCTCCGGGGCTCCAGGGGACGCAGAGCCTCATGTAGCTCCCTCTGAGCGTGGCCCTGGGTTCCGATCGCGTGCAGGTGGAAGGGCCTCGAGCCCAGTGCCTCGTTTCCCACGCTGAGTGTCCACTGCCTGGCCGCTGGTCCCTTCAGGTTCACCCTCTACTCACAGGCAAGGACAGCGTCGCAGGTCTGAGCCCGCGTGGGAGCGGCCTGGGGAGCAACGCATTGATGGCGGCCCCGCTGGCCGGTGGTGCTTGCTGCAGCCGCTGTCTCCGGGCTGGAGGCAGCACTGTGCAGCCAGGCGTGGCCCTGGCCGTGTGGAGCGGGAAGCTTCAACCCGGGGACATGTGACACAGGCTGCATGCCTCTGGGGACCTGCTGGCGGACAGCACAGGTGGCGTACACAGCCAGCTTCAGGAACCCACCTCGTCTCGGCCGTGGCCACCTCGTGGGCACCCCTGGCTGCAGTGAGGCCAGATGCCACCCTGATCTGCTCAAGGCCTAACCAAAGTCTCTCAACACTGAGGAGGAGGCTGAGCTTCCCCACAGCGTGTGTGTCCCTGCTCAGGTTCCCGTCCCTGCTTAAGGGGCACACGTGGGGCCAGAGGGGTGCTGGTCCCATCTCCCTCTCTCGGCCGCCTAGTGGCCAGGCCCCAAACAGCACAGGAGAGGCGTCCGCAGAGGGAGAGCCTGCACAGGCCACCCACGGCGTACGGGGTGGGGCCGCGCCCATGGTGGTCCTGCCCAGGCCTGATCCTCTCATTGGTGTCTGCGGGATGAGACGACCACAGTCACCAGGGACTGGGACTCGGTCTGTGACCCACGCAGAGCCGCACCCCTCCCGGTGCTCCGGTGAAGACAGGTACCGGCACTGGGCAGGTGTTAGAGTGTCCCGCAGGCTGGGTCCACTCTCGGGCCTCCACTCTTGGCAGGGTGCCTGGAGGTGGTCCAAAGTTCACGGTGTTGTGCAGAGCGGCCCCAGGGGCTGCCAGCTTGGGGTCCAGGGCCAAGACAGCAGGGCAGGAGAGGCCGTCTGGCCTGAGTGAAACTGCTCGTCTCCTGAAGCCTCAGGAACCCGTCAGTGTGTTTCTGCCTCTGGCCACCACCCTGGGTGCTCGTGCATTCCCTGCGTGCAGACGTCAGTCAGGCCGGCAGCAGAAGGCAGCCATGGTCCAAGTTGAAATTTTCACTTTGCCCCCACTCTCCTCCTGCAGTTCAGACGGGCTCCGCAACATGTATGTCTGCGGGAACCCGAGAACAGCTCTAACTCAGGCCAGCCCTGCCCTTCCTCACGGTGACCCACGTCTTTTGGGAGAAGCAGGCAAAAGACACCCAGGCCCCAGCCACGACACTTGCCTCGTGCGGTGTCGGCGTCGTATCTGGGCCCCTTCCTCAGGCCCCGCAGCTGTGCTCACGTAGCTCTGTTCTCTCTCACACTTGCCTCGTGCGGTGTCGGCGTCGTATCCGGGCCCCTTCCTCGGGCCCCACAGCTGTGCTCACGTAGCTCTGTTCTCTCTTGCAGTTCCAACGATAAAGACCGAGCCCAGCGACGACTACGAGCTGGCTGCGACCGGTGGGCCTGGGAGCCAGGGGGCAGGCCCGCTCCTGAGGCCATACCACACCCAGCAACTTGCCATGCCTGACCCCCGCTCCT